AAGTCTCCTAATACCACTCGATACCGAAGCATTCGAAGGGGTTGGCGAGGGCTGCCGACTTGTTTGTGGGGTTACAATTCGTTCTCGGGCAACTGCAACTTTAAGACGTACAGGATCAGGATCGAAAAGAGGAGGGAGAGATCAAGTTAGATCAAATTTCCGAGAAGGTTTATCAACAGGAGGCTCAATATCGCCAGAAGTAACTGTTGACGATTTAAATTCTATAAGTGAGCAAGCAGTACCTCTAGAACCCCGAGGTCGTCCTCTTCCCCTTCTTGATGTGGTCTGGCTAAATATTTCGTCGGCCATGATCAGAGTTAAAAAGTCAAGTTAGTCGATATTTATATCGAAATAATTTTCGGGGCAAATAGAAAATCTGGGACAGGTTACGTCAATATCCGAATTTCAAACCCAATATCGATATCCAGATTTAATAATGAAATTTAACGTTCAATAATAAGTTTCTAAAAAACATGAAGTTATATATAATAAACCATTTAGAATAAAATGTTACAAAATTAAAGTATTTGTATATGAGATAGTGAAGTAATTGGTATATTGCGAGCTTTTCTATAATTGCAATAAAATTTCTAACGTAGTTTTCGCGGATTTTCCAATACTAAAATTGCCTCAGCAAATTTTCAGTTTTGATCATTTTTATTTATCACTACGTGTTATTATTATTAAATTTATATTTATAAAAATGATAATGATTAATTCGGAGGTTATAACCTGTCCCGGATTTTTTATTTGGTACCCATTCACATGAATTCCACCACCAAATTTGGGGGCAAAGTAGACTCATCGTTATAATTTAACTACAGCCAAAAGAAAACCCGACAATTTAAATTTAGGTTATATTTAAATTGTCGAGTTTTCTTTTGGCGACACTCATATTTATATATAACGAAGGTATTTGTAAAAACTAAATTGCTAAATTCATATAACTCTAACACACATTTATCAAATTTTTTTTATTCCATAAATTATTTAATAATTATTGAACTAAATTCGTTACTAAAGATATTGAAGAAAACAGAATTTTTAGAAAAAACTTTTATTGTATTTCATGTAGT